CCGCCAGGGCCCACTGGCCACCTGCAGGCTCCGGGCTCACCGGACAGCGGAGTGACCACTGGGCCACCCAGCCCTCCCCTGGCTGGGCTGTGACAGGGAGGGGCAGCAGGATGGAGGGGCTGGTGTGTGATGAGCAACCTCCTCGCTGGATAGTGGGTGCTGGGGGCCTGGGGGGGGGGCTCAGGGCGCCCAGGCGTTGACGCCCCCTTCCTCCCTCTGCCCTCAGATCCTCTCTGGAGTCATTCTGGAGGTGGTCGCCGAGGAATTTGCCAATGACTTTCCGCCCGAGACGCAGAGAGCCTGGGCCAAGCTGCGCGGCCTCATCTACAGCCATGTGACCGCGGCCTACAAGGACGTGGGCTGGGTACAGCAGGTCCCCAACGCCACCACGTGAGGAGGGGTGAGGGTGGGCCGGGAGCTCCCTGGTCTCCGTCTGCCCCGGGGCCCAGGGCTGACCTGGGCAGGAGCCCGGCCAGGAGGCGGGTCTGGGAACAGACGCAGTAGGAAAGGCCGCGCAAGCCTAGGCCCCTGCGCCGCCTGCAGGAGCTGTGAGCCCCCGTCAGATCCCCCAGCCCAGACCCTGAGCGGGGCCTCTCAGAGCACTGGGCCCTGGGCGGGGAGGGCGGCGGCTCGGCGGGGAGGCTGGCTCAGGGGCCAGAGGCCGCAGGCGCTTCCGGCGTCCCTCCCCGGGCACCGGTCACAAGGGGCTGTTTTCACCTGAGGCCGGGCTCTGCTCTCCCGCCTCAGCCTCGGCCTCAGCCAGGTGGGGGGGGGGGGGGGACAGTCACACAGTCACGAGGACCCGCACACGCCAGCACGGCGGCCCAGCCGGAGGCCGTGGGCGTCCCTCTCTCCGCATCACGGGGTGTTTACTTCTGGGCTGACCCCGAGGCCCGTTCCCAGTGCTGGGTGAGGCCGGAGGTGGCTCCGGGAGGGTGGCCGCTGACTCGGAGCACGAGGGGAGGGCTGGCCCAGACGTGGCGGCTGGGAACACTCCGGCCTCCGGGCCCCCAGGGGCGGCCGGCTCCCAGCGCCGTGAGAGGCGGGGCAGGAGCAGAGGCGGGAATGGGGAGCGGGGTCAGCCAGCAGCTCAGGACACGCGTGTGGAGAAACAGTCCCAGCAGTTTCCCATGGAACAGGCGGCGGCCCCTCCCGGGCTCCAAGCTGGCCGGGGCCTCGGACCCGCCTGGTGGGCTGTGGGCGCAGCTCCGAGGGAAGGTCCCAGGGCAGCCTGGGAGGCCAGGCCTCCTGACTGTCCATCCATTGTCCCCCGAGCACACTGGCCCAGCCTCTCCTCTCCCTCCCCCGCCCCCATCGCCACCCCCCAGGGGAGCGCGGTCCTCCGCTCTCAGGAACTCCAGATGTGCACAGCTGGCCCTGGCCTGCCCGGACCCCGGTGGATGGGAGGCAGAGTTTTACCTGCCGGAGGCGCTGGCAGGGCCAGGGGACCTGCTGGGAGCCAGAGGGGCAGGAGGGCCAGTGGCGGAGGGGGCTTGCCCGCCCACCCTCTCCCCAGGCAGCCTCTGCGGCCAGCGAAGAGCTTGTTTACAGCCAGGGGACACGACTTCCTGCTTCTAGAGAAAAGGCCTTTTTACAGGGGCCTGAGGGACCGAGCTGGCCAGCGCCAGCCCCAGCCCCAGCCGCGTGAATCAGAAACATGTGGACACGCTTCCCGACACCAAGCCCCGCCCCGCCCCCTTCTTGCCCCAGCTGGACCCCGGGGACTTAAATCTCACCCAACCCCAAGAATTAGGAAACCGAGGGAATCTCCTCATCTGCCCCCTTCGTCTCCGTGGAGACGGCTTCTGGGGAGGGTGGCCGGGCCCTGCTCCCACCTGGGTCGGGCACCTCACAGTTGGGTTACCGCTCTCCCCAGCCGGGCAGTCATGGGGATGGTCCCCTCCACCCCCTGCCTCTGCCGAGGCCCCCCCAAGCGGCGTTCCCAGCTGGGAGCTGGGAGCTGGGAGGGAGTGGCAGGCAGTCATGGAAGGAAGGCCTCCATCCAGTTCCTCTTATCAGGGACGGGGTGGGCCAGACACCACTGTTTACTGAGCTGTCTCTGCTTAAGGGTGTGGGTGCGTGTTTGTGGGTGCGGAGGCGGGGGGCATGGTGCCGAGTGCACAGGGCCGTGTGTACAGAGCCTGCCTTTGGGTGGTCCGCGGGGGACCCGGCCGGCCAGGCGCACACACGTCTCCATCCACAGCAGAGAGTCACGTTTGCGTGGCTCTTGGCAGCTGGTGAGACACGTGCCCGCAGTTGATGCCCCTCGATCCCCACGGAGCGAGGCGAGGCAGACATCCCCCTGTAGAGGAAAAGACCTGGGGTGCAGGCGGGCCCACGGACTTGCCCGGGCCCAGGTCCCCTCGGTAGAAGGAGAACTGGGCCCTGGGCCCCCTGGGCTGCTTTCCCCTGTGCCACGCGGGGTCTCGGCGTCCGGCCTCACGCCCCCGATTCCTGTCCCCTGGTCCCAGTCTGTGCCCCTTGTGACCTGTTGCTCCATCTCTTGTCCACAGCCCACCGGCCACGCTGCCTTCTCCCTCCTCGGGGCCGTAGGGCCCCTGCTGCCCTCCCCCCTCCCTGGCAGCACCTTGAGCAGAAGGCCGAGTTCTGAAGACCCTCCTTGACCCTCCGTTGCTGGGTGCCAAGGAAGCCGGAGGAACCCCTGACGCATCTTCCTGGAGAGAGGCCTCTGCCTGGGCCGCGGCCCCCTGGAGCCGCCGGGAGGTGGCACTGGATGCTGACCCAGTGGCGGCCGGTGGCCTGTGGGGTGGGGGGCCCTTCCTCCTCAAAGAGCCAGGCCCCCTCTTCTTAGCTTTTCTACTCACCGTCCGAGACCTAGCTGAGCAGCTGGCAGGAATCGGGGTCCGCGAGTCGCCGCGGGCTGCGCCAGCCCCGTTTCTATCTGCCCGGCCAGCATGCAGGTCTCGCGTCACCTCTAGAATATCACGCACACATATCTACCATATATACGATATATTCTATATGCAGCCTCTATAAAGATATATATACATTCACATCTAGACTGTGTCCCTGCCGGGCCCAGAGGCCCGCGGGAGGCCTCGGCTCTGCTCCCCTGTGCGTGGGGCAGGGAGGGGCCCCGCACATGCCTCTGGGCCGAGGACGGAGTGTTCTGGCAGAGATGGGGGTCCCGCATCAGCACAGAGAGGATTGGGGCCTGTGGGCGGAGTTGGGGTGACCCAAGGGCCTGCGTGGGCAGGGTTGGGGTGACGCAGCCCATTCTCGGGCCAGCTCCCACATTCCTACAAGAAGGGTTTGGCTCTCCCCACCTTGACCCCACACCAAAGGACGTGTGTGGCTCCCTGCCCTGCTCCCTAACAGTCAAGGGCAGGCAGGGGGCCCGCCGTTCAAGGACAGGACGCCTGTGCTGGGGGAGGGGCGGAGGTAGAGCCCCATCTGCCTTTGTCACGAAGACAGCCCAGCCCCGGCGGGAGGAGGGGCGATGGGACAGGACCAGCTGCCTCCATCTCCTCCGGGGCTCCGAGGCCGGGGCCTTCCGCCCACCCCGCCCGGCTGCTGGCTGGCAGTCGGTCCTGTCCCTCCATCTGGGTCAGAGCCGCGGGGACACCCCCGAGTGTGCCCCTCGGTCACGTGTGTCGTCCTCAGGATGTTCTGCTGCTGTGACTGTTGTGCCGTGCCCCCTCCTGTCCCGTCTCGCCCAGCCATCCGTGTGACCGCCTGTCCTCCTTTTGTAGTTTCTGATGTTTGTAACCAGACCCAGCCGTGTCATTAAACAGACTCCTCTTCCTGTGTCTGCTCCTCGCGCTTCCTGCCATCTGCCTCGCCCGGCTTCCTCCTCAGTTCAGGGCTCGGCCTCCCTCCCCACCCCCCTTTCTCCCCGCAACCCAACCCGGGTGTCTGCCTTGGCTGGTCGTGGACCCTCTGAGTTGGGGTCCACCGGGCTGGAGACTGGAAGCTGGGCTTGGGGGGGGTGCGGGGGGTGGCCAGGAAGGGTGTCTGTGCTTGTTTAATGAAATGGGGGGGCAGGGGGGGCTTTTGTCTTTTGTTCTGGCAACCTCCCTGGGGAGGATGGGATAAGGGAGGGAGGAGTCAAGGCAGAGATGTTCAGAAGGAAGGTCCAGCCATCCCAGGGTCCTGGCGAGGCCTGTGTCTTCCAGAGGGGGGCTCGGCCAATGCCTGGCCTGCCGCTCAGAGTACATGCGGGGGGTCCGTCGTGGCTGCTGGGGAAAGGACACGTGCTTTCAGTCTCAAATCCCAGCACCTTCCCCGAGCTCTCCGCTCCCAGGCCCCCTTCCCAAGCCGTCTGTCCTGCATCCCACAGCCTGGGCCAGGCCCGTCCAGCCCCCACACAGGATGGAGGCAACAGCAGGATCAACTCCCGGGGGAGGGGCCGGGAGGTCACCGCCCCTGGGGGGCTGCAGGCGAGGCAGGAAGCAGCCTCTGCCCCTGGGGAGGGCCGCTGGCTGCCTGGGAAGATGCAGCCGACACACAGGAGAGCCCTGTCTCCGGGAGCAGCCCAGCCGCGAACTCCCCGCACGCAGGCCCCGCCCTCGGCTCCTGGCCTGGCAGGGCGAGGCCTGCGATGGAAATCCAGAGAATAAACAAATACCACTCTTAGAAAGCAAAAGCAGTGCTCGGGCCAAGCGTGAGCCGTGCGATCTGGGACGCGAGTGCAGAGGGGACAGGACTGTGTGGGCAAAGCCGTGCCAGGGAGGACCAGGCCCCGGGCTCTGAGGCAGACTGCCTCGGTGCTGTGTGACTTTGGGCTCATCACTCCTGCTTGCTGAGCCAGCCACAGTCACCTCCGATGGAGTGGCCCCAGCTGGTTTGCCTCAGGGGATAGAGCATCAGCCCATGAACTGAGGGTCCCGGGTTTGATTCCGGTCAAGGCAGGCTCCATCCCCGGCCCTGGTGGGGACTCGTGCAGGAGGCAACCAATCCATGTGTCTCTCTCACATCAATGTTTCTCTCTCCGTCTCTCCCCCTCCCTTCCGCTCCCTCTAAAAATCAATGGAAAATTTTTAAAAGGGAAGTAGGAGTGAACATGAGACCTGCCTTGCAGGGCAGGTGCCAAGAGGAGGAGGAGGAGGGTGGATGCCCCAGTGCTGGGGCCGGGGTGCTCAGGAGAGTGAAGGTCTGGCCATCGGAAGCGGCGAATGGAAAGAGGAGAAGGTTGGACTGGGCCAGATGAGTCTTAAGAGAGAGGCGGGCAGAGGAGGAAAGAGGCAGGGAGGTGCGTGAACAGGGTGATCTCAGGAGGCAGAGGGTGAGGGGAAGGGAAGTGGAGGCAGCCCGGGAGGCCTGCCTGGCCCTGGAGGCCATGGGGACTGTGACAGGAGGGGCGTCGGCCGTCAGGGTGGGGGCTACTCTCTGGGAAGAAAGATCCCCTCCCCAATTTCGCTTCAGTTGGCTTCAGAGCGGTGAAGGGGCCGCTGAACCAGCCCAAACCGGAGTCCTGCAGGAATGTCGCCCTTGAGAACGGTTCTCCCCACTCCCCACTCTGGGGAGAGGACATTGGCAATTAATGATTCACCAGGCGTGATGTCTGAAGGGTGGAGGCAGCCTCGGTCCCCTGGTGATGCTGGGCCGGGCCCCGGGGCTGCGGGGAGGCGAGCCCGGGCTGGAGTTCTGTTCTGTGCTCTGCACTCAGGCACGGCCTTGTCGTGGAAGAGCTGAGCAACTGGGTCAGCTCCCGCTGCGGGCTCAAGCTGTGAGCCGTGGGGTGTCAGCGCGGGGTGCGCAGTCTGCGCTGCTTCCCCGCCGAGCGGGCCTGGCCGCGCGGTCCCACCGCGACCCCTGCTGGCCGCGCTAGGAACGTCACCCGGGAAGCCTCAGCCGGTGCTGGGGCGACAGGACCTCCGACTTTCCTGATTCTGGAAGGAGGTGGTAGCACCGCAGCTGAGCCGGAGGCCCAAGGACACATGCGCGCCCCGCACATACTACGGAAATGTCCTCCGTATTTGCAGCCAAGTGGGAAAATGTAATAAACGCTCTAATAAAAGGGAAGCCTCCCTATGTATAAAACCCCCACCAAGCCCAGGCTGCTGGCCTGCCCTCGTCAACACGTAGAAGCCAGCTCAGCGGGGAACACGGCAGCCAGGAGGCTCCTGGAAACAAACAACAGCCCCTGTTCAAAATGCTGATGGGTGAGCACGGCGGCCTCCCCCTGAGTTGAGAGGCGACCTACCCGCTTTCCAAGCCTGGCTGGGTGGCTGCGTGGGTGGCGGCCGCAGGGGCAGTGGGGGAGCGAGGAGGCCAGGACTCCCGTTAGCAGCGGAGGTTGTGGGAGGCAGTAGAGTCAGGATTTATTTTTAAAGTTGGCCCAACAGGAAGGATTGGTGGGCTGGAAGCTGGGGGTGAAAGAGAGGACAGCTGAGCATCCTGCCAGGTTTCGGTTCTGTCTGCTTTTACTGGCCCTGTCCTCCCGGGACACAGCCAGGGAGAGCAGGTGTGGGCGGGGAGGCCATCACGAGTTCCCCTTTGTCCACGGGAAGCCCATGGGGATGCCGTCAGAGCTGGGACTTAAATTGGGGGGGGGGGGGGATGGGGTCCCTGGGCAGAGACTGTGGGAAGAGAAGAGGGGCAGGCCCGGGCCCTGGAGCACTGGACCCCGAGGTCAGGGGTAAAGGGAGGAGCCCACCACGGGAAGGGGGGACAGGGGCTGGGACAGAACCCTAGAAGCTGCCGGGAGAGCGTCTTCGTGAGGCTGCAGAGAATCCGCCGGGAGCCACCTGCTGACCGCCTCTCTGAGGTCAAGGTCATTACCTGAGAAGCCAGTGGGTGCGGCCCAGAGGGGGTGAGGGGAGGGGACAGTGAGTGGGTTTACTCAGGAAAGGGGGTGGCAGGTGCTTCCTGAGAGGCGTGCCATGAACAGTGCCTGCCAGGGTGGCTTTTGTCAAAGAGAAACTGGAGCTGGGCAGTGGTTAAAGCATAAAAACCAATTTTACCCAGGACCATTGCAACGGGGAAGAGACCTCAGCGTAGAACGCAGCGTGGGCAGGCGGGATTGACGCAGCTGAGGCGCTGGGATGGGCGGGGGTGGTGGTGGAGATTACTAAGAGGAAACACGGGCGTGAGGGAGTTCTGCCTCAACCGACCCAACAGGGTTCTTGTCGAAGGCAGGCCCGGGATGGGTCCGACATCAGCTGGAGGTGGGGGGAGGTGAAAAACCCAGGGGGAGCCCAGCTGGCGTGGCCCAGTGGTTGAGCATTGACCTATGAATCAGGAGGTCAGGGTTCGATTCCCCGTCAGGGCACATGCTTGAGTTGTGGGCTCGATCTCCAGTGGGGGGCGTGCAGGAAGCAGCTGATCCATGATTTTCTCTCATCATTGCTGTTTCTATCTCTCTCTCTCCCTCTTCTTTCCTCTCTGAAATCAATAAAAATGTATTAAAAAAAAAAAAAAAAGAAGAACCCAGTGGGGGATTCCAGCTAGATGACTGAGCAGGAGTCCCGCTAAAACTGGACAATGTGCTGTAGCCGTTTTGGTTCAGTGGATAGAGCGTCGGCCTGCGGACTGAAGGGTCCCAGGTTCGATTCCGGTCAAGGGCATGTACCTTGGTTGCGGGCACATCCCCAGTGGGGGGTGTGCAGGAGGCAGCTGATCGATGTTTCTCCCTCATTGATGTTTCTAACTCTCTATCCCTCTCCCTTCCTCTCTGTAAAAAATCAATAAAATATACTTAAAAATAAAACCAAAACTGGACAATGCTCATGAACACAGAGTCCACGTCAGGCCTCGTGGAGACCAGGGAGTCTGAGGAGCATTAGAGAACCTTGTCCCTCCCTCCCTCGGGCGCAGGGGAGCAGCAAGTTCCTGGCGGGGGTGGGGGGGGGCGGTGAGGGTGTCCTGAATAACTGCAGGCCTAGCCCTGGGCCTTCCAGTGGGTGTGCCACATGGAGGGGGAGGCAGCTGACTGCCCAGGGCCCATCCAGGCACACAGGGGCCCGAGGAACCCACCCTCCAGGCCTTTTCTGCAGCTGGGAAGGGACACGAGGGTGTGGGGGGAGGGCAGGCGTGGGGGGAGGGGAGGGGCCTCCCAGGGCAGGTGGGCAAGGGAGCCCTTGACCTTGTCTAAGTCCACAGGCAGACCATGCAACACTGTTCACTGTGAAAAACAACCATTTTGTGATGTGAAAGCAAAAAGTGTTCCCTGCATTTCAGAAAACGTAGGCGAGAAGTCACCGGTAACCCCTCGCCCCCGGCCTGTCTTCCAGGTGTCCCTTGTCCGCACGAAACATGCCATAACGCTTTGCATCTTTACACACGGCCTTACAAATAGCACAGGGGCTCGGCACGAGTGCAAAAGCAATATATGCTCGTCGCAGCGAAGCTGAGGGGCAAAGAAAAACACAAAGAGGGAATAAAAATCCTCTGCAAGCCCCACCCCCGCCCCAACCACCACCAAACAGCCGTAACCACTGGTGGGTTTGGGTGGAAACACTAGCGGCCCTGCACCCACACGTGACGCCCGGCGTTGATGTCACCTTTGACATTAAGTCGGGGTCACGGGCACATAGTGGTTTCAGCAGACTCCTTGGCCTGCAGGCAGGAGCTGGAGATCGCAGGAGCCCGCGGCTGATGTCGAGGTCACGCAGGGACAATAGCAGTGGACGCCGGGGAGGCTCCATGTGGGCCTGACGCATTCCCAGGGCCTCCTGGCTGGCCTCCAATTTGCAACGACCCAGAAGGAGGCCACCATCTCTCCCAGGCAAAGCAGCGCCTCCTCCGGGCCCGCAGCTTCCAGGCCCCTGCGTTCTATTCCCCACTCAGCCCAGAGGAGGCTTTTACG